TTGCATCACCCAAATGGACCCATTTAAATCATTTTCACTGCTCATTTTATCAAGTTCCCTACTGCCCACAACCACATTATCCTCAAAATCCATATTACAATCATCATACCTCCCCTAAATCAACATCAGAGCAAGTTCATTTTCGTCATTGGCAGCACATACCTCCGTTTGACCATCAACAGACACCAAACTAGAAGCATCCCCGGCCAGCAAAGTCGGACCACCAGACCCGACACTTCTTCCATCTACTTCTTCCAGCAGTATGTCTCCACCTCCTTCCTTATCAGATTTTCGGTCCCCCTTGCCAAAAACTTCCTCTTCCTCTGTGCCATCCTGCCTCGAAACACGACAGATCTCTAAACCCGCCTCCATCATCGCCACCTGCTCGTCATTTTCTTTCTCCCCCTCAACTTCTCTTTCTTTCTCAACTAATTTTTCCTCCTGAACCGGTTCAGAGCAGCAGTTCAGGTTTCAGTTCACCGGCCTGTACACCAGCCCTCGGGCTTATCTTTAATCTGGACTCCCTTCTAGGGCCTGGAACGTCAACCCATTTACCTTTCTCTAGCCATGTTAACCTACGGCCAAGTCTCAATCTGTTTTGTGCCCCAGAAGGCCCCTGATTCACTCTCATTAATTTAGTCCTCCCAAAACAACATCCCCCCTCCTACATTTTGGGTTGAGCGCAAACCATTCACAATTTGAAAATTGGACTTGGCCCCAACATGAGCCAAAAAAGTCTGTTGACCCCCAGACTCAAAACAACCACTACACCCTCCGTTTTGAACTTGACTTGGACTGGGTATAGATGCGGGTATGGGTTTCTTCTGCCTTACCCGAGGGTTCACCTGCACTGGGCATTTGAGGATCGCCGTGCATTCATGGTCTCCTTCTTGTTCACCCCAACTTCCATCTTCACTCCACAACATGAGCAGCTAATCGAAAATGTCCCTAGAGAAAAAAGACTCTTCGGGTCAGCCACAGTCCCCAGCCCTGAATCCGCCCTCCCTTTCCCTTTCACCCATACTGGTTCTACTAACTCAATCCTTTGAACTTCAAAAATTGCCTCCATTATCTGCCACCACCGACCTGCCTTCTCTCGCTCTGAAACGAAGATCCAGTTGAACCCCCCTCCTCCACCTACGTTACCTTCGGAAAGAACCAAGTACTCCTCTCCCCTAATCGAGCTTAGAGGCATCCAGAGGATACGGCTCCAACTCCACCTACATCTACCCCACCCTTCCTCTCCTCTCTCCCACCGAAATTCCTTGATACATCCCATGAGCCATTCAGCATCCCCCTTTTGATAGAGAATCAACTTTCAGACTCCCCTCCCATTTTCGAAAATTTGATTCCCTTCACCCTCTCCAAGCACATCAAATGAACTGTGCCCTACCACCAGAAACTTTTGAAGACCCGTAAACATGGCCCTATTCAGCAGCACCATCGTGGCCACATCGATGGTGTCAAATCAGCTCTCTTAGACTCTCTCCCTAAGTATAATAGAGAACAGAGTCTAAAGCTTCCATGTTATAAAATCCTCCAACAATGAGATAAGCAGAAAAGTAAAAGGAAAATAGCAACTCAATCCTTTTACAAGGAAATAAATAAACCCACCTAAAAAACCGGAGCCTCGGACCAAGGCCAGACTAGAAACACTACCCAACCCCAAACAATGACCTGAATTATCAAATTTGATCCAGACAATTAAAAGGGAAAAATACCATCCTTTTCCATTTGAAAACAAAACACATGAGAAAAAAATACCTACATACTTTTTTAATCAGAAAATAACATTACTACCTTATTCATGCCCCAACAGGTTCTGCCTATATAGATAGTGTCATATACAATTAATTGCATGTTAAACTATCAATAATGTCTACACTGACGACCTATCATGTGGGAAACAAAAACTAAAAACAGGTATGGGGCTAAAAGAACCTAAACGTATGTATTACCTGACGCACGATAGAGACCAAAGTTCCAAGCTTCCATGTTATAAAATCTTTTAGATAATCATCACAAGTGCGAACAGTTTGAAAGAGGTCAGGCAAAACCTGCAGAAAGAAAGACAATTTAGAGAGCAAAAAAGGTAGATAGCCTAGTGCACTTAACAAAGACTAACAAAAAGAGATACAAAGACAAATTAGAAAAAATTAGACAGCTATACAAAAGCAATCTTCTATAGGACAGGTGTACTTCTCTGTACCTGAAATTAACGATTATGATGGATTAGCAGTTACAATATTAGCTACGCCTACAATGTGGTTATTAGTCAATAGGAACGCAGACCAGCATTAGATTTCTAGATGTTACAGAAAGAACTTTTTAATGATGGCAGATATTATCACGAGTTCATTTATAAAGAAAACCAACTAGGACAACAGTCCATACTGCAGAAGCAAAGAAGACACGAAGCAAATAGGTAGTTTCCACATGATGCCTTGTTTTTTATAGACTTAATCAATCATGCCAAGAAAATATTATGAAATAAAAATTCTATACGAACCTTGGGTAAGTACGGAACGCAACCAAGTCCCATTGACTAACCTCGCAAGGAAATAGTATTAAGGATATTAACATTTAAAACCATTAAGTGCACATATCAAAATCACTTCAGATGTCTAAAAGAAACCAAAAGAAAAATATTTTACATACCTTGAATATGAACATAAGAGATCCAACGACTTTTTGGTGGTAACTAGCTAGTGATGGATCCCTAAGAATTCTCATGAGAGAATTAATAGCAACCTAGATTCATTCAATAAAAGTGTTAATATAAGCACAATCTAGAAGTACAAATCAGATCAAAGATACTACCGTGGAATAATAATCCTCAGATGTAGCAAATGAAGGCCAAAGGTCCATCGGTAACTCATCCATTGATGGAATATGTTGACCAGAATCACTTGCGGCACGTGTAACTTCACCATGTGACCCTGACAAACTTTGTTGATTTCGCTTATGCAAATGGGGATCCAGAGCACCCATAATCCCAAGGACCTAGCAATACCCAAAACTAACGTTATCATGATAGATTATTCAAAGATATAGTCAAGAAATGTAATTCATTAGGAGCTACCTTTAACACTTCGCGTCTAGTGGACCACACCAACTCACCATTCAACAATTTCAAGAGTAAACCAAGCAGCAGCGGATATTCATTATACGGAGTTATCACATACCTGTCAAAATTGGGCAGAAAAGCTCTCTTTGAAAGTACAGAAAGAGATTATTATTTTTCTAGTAAGAAAAAAGGATTTACTATAGCTTCATCTTTCCTCTCTCTAACAATATTTCTTCTAATCCAAAAAAGAGATTTGCAAGTAAAACACCCAAGGAATCTGGGGATCAAAGTCCACAACCAGGTCTACTAAAAAAACAAAAGAATCAAGTGAAGTAAACAAACACATTAGATCCAACACTTTCCAGCCATTAAGGTTCCAGAACAAATGACACTTCCAAGACATATGGCCCTCTTGCTACAATATAAACAAGGAGATACTGTTGTGACAATACAGGAAAGCCTGTAATGATGAGGAAAGCAATTGTATAGAGGGTCCTCACTGTACCAAAAGTCAGCTCTAAACAGAAAAGGAGAACCATTCCTAGCACTTGAAAACCAATCAACAAAAGGGATAATATACCAAAGAGATGAATTGTCTCTATGAGCAGCCATTCCAGTTAACCATCTCTAGCATCTCAGCCATTCAAGCGAATACGATGTTAAAACAAAAACCATATAGATTGAACTATATCTTTTCAGTGTTTAACTTATATTAACTATTTCTTCTTCTCCGAAAAAAGATTATTCTAAAAAAAAAGCTATTTCCTGTTTTTCTCTCCTCCAAAAAAAAAACTATTTGTTGTTTTTTTAAACTTGCAAATGAAGCAACTACGAAACAGAATTGTAACAATCAATGGTCAGATTTTTTTCCGACTGTAAATACATTAATGCAC